CCTTCCCTGGTTTGATTTGAAAGAAGGTAAACAGCTCGTCTGAGATTACATCTAGGCCTTTGAGGACTGTCAGATGAGATGTTAGTTCATAGATGATCCACAAATTGTGATTGGCCTACTCATACATAGATTGACCCCAGGTCTTCGGAATGAAGTGCTTAAGTACAACCCATCCGAGGTCGATGAGGCCTATCACATTGTGGAGCACATGGAGTGCCTTGGCGATGAATTATCGACTATGACACAACAGCCCATCAAGACGACCACCACATGTTCCACCTTTGAAGTCTCTCCTTTACAAACTCACATTAGCATAGGAAATGGTCAGACCATCCCTGCCACCTCCGTGGGGTCATCTCATTAGACAATTACCTTGGGCATGGTGGTCTGAGCACCTATTACTTCCCAAGCCCATATCACTTGTTTCAAGTGCCAAGACAAGGGACACTGAGCAAGCCAGTGTCCATCTTCAAACCTACTTATAGGTATCGAAGATGCCAACCCTAGTGTCTAGGGTGACGACACCTCCCCTAGCAATGACATCTACATCACGGCAGATGAGTTAGCTGATGAGTGCGTTGACACTCAAGCCTTGATCGATTACATCGAAAGCAAGCCTGCCACCATCTCTTCCACACTTGTCACTGCCCTAACACAACTAGTCAGCATAGCTGTCCACAGCCCCAGCAATAGTGGATCACACTCGCCATCCCAATTAGCAAGGACCTCGGCAGTTAGACCTCAGCCACCCTTAGCTTGATCACTATCATTGTGAGCTAGGTCCTAGACACCATTGATTGATTTGATGATAGAGGACGCCCTTTACATGTCGATCTTCCACACATACATGAAGATCAACTGCCAAGTGTGTAAGTTGATCATCGACAATGGTAGTTGATGTGATTTAGTTATTGTATAGTAAAAAATGTAAATTTAAAATTTATAAAATGAGAAAATATCAATTTTCAAATATTTAGAAGTATTTCTAAATAAATATATCAATTATAATTCAATAAAAAAATCAAAAATAGTAAAAAATATCTAGGTCAATCACAAGGAGTAATATAATATCAACTAATATTTCAAAAAATTTCTCGAAGAATACAAATTTTTATAAATTTTAGACTATAAAATAAAAATAAAATATATTTAAAATTCACAAATAAAGGAATTAAGGATGCGGATGTCAAGATGACACCAACACTTGACGAACGTGAATTGGATGAAAATAAAATTATATTTGGTGATTCTTACGTAAATGATTATAGATGATTTAATGAGTAAAATTATGATCTATAAAAGTTAAAAGAATCATAATTAAATAGAAAGTAGTTTGAAAATTTTAAATCACACAAATTATCTCTAAATGAAGTAAAAATTAAGTTGAAAGTAGAAAAGATAAAGCTTCAGTGTCGTGGTGGTAATGCATTAATGATGCACTAGAATCCTAAGCATTCAAGCAGATTGTCATGTAGTGTCCATAGCCTTGAAGGCTCTCCTTAGATAAGAACGACGTGGGCAATCTCTAAATCTTCTCGTGAAGTTTAGAGATCAATGAAATAGGTTGTCGAATCATCTTTGATGATTCTCACTTGGTGGAGTAGAAAAATGACGACTTTGTAGCTCTTTGGTGGCTATCACCTGACAGAGAAGAGTTGAATAGAGGTGGGGCATGTGTTAGGGAGCTTCATCCTTAGGTCCGCACAATAAGAAGAGGCTCTTCATTGCATTTGGTATGCCCTTAAGAGGTGGCGACTCGTCTTTCAGCGAATCGTCCTCTTCTTGACGACGACTTGTTTGTCAATCAATGGGAGATGATTTACTCGATGGATTCGTAATCTTTTTATCAAGAATCTTTTAGTACTTTAAGTAACAATGTTTGGTAAATCGTGTTGATAAGATTTTTACTGATGATCAAGAGATTATAGTAGCTTAATCCTTCACTAGTGATCTATAAGAAAGTCATAATTTAATCAGATAAAAATATGAGTCTTGGCTTTGGTAAGATTCAAAACTGCACCAGTCGCTCATCTATGTGAGAGAGGGTGAAATAAGTATGCAAATACTCTTATAAAGTGACGTCATTAGACTACTTCCTGATAAACAAGGGGTATTTTAGGTATTAAAATCTTCAAAATCATTTTGAGGAAGATGTGAGCGTCGATTTAGTCCCACATCAGTTATACACTAATTGTTGAGATGTATATATGCTAATGAAAGATTTGGGAATCAATGAGTCCCTTTCCTACGTGTGTACAACCACTCCTTGCTCTATAGCTAGCTGGTCACCAAAGACGTGGAAGGGGAGTGCATACATGTGCCCCCATCGATCCATGGCCGCTCAAGCACTTACTTGCAGCTCCACCTTGACTGTGCTTCCGATCTCCTTATAGACTCAGTTGGCCGACAGGTTCCCCCTTTTTCTATTATTTTATTTTATTTTATTTTTCTTCATTTATGTCAAAAATAGGATTATAAAATCATATAAAATTATATAAAATCACATAATTAGCCAAAAAATTACATTAAGTAACTGAAAACTATTTTTCACAATTTAACATAAATATAAGTCTCGAAGATAGTAAAAAATTGCTAACAAGTCAATTGCTAATAAGTCTCGAAGACATCTCTTACACGCAACCTCGCTCCCACAGTAGTCATCTGATGGAGGCTTGAACAAAATGCCAAAACATCGTTGCTCACTATCTTTGTCAAGACATGAAAGAATTCAACAAGTCAATTGCTAACTTTTCTCCTCCCCCAAGCAACAAAAAAAATCAAGGCTTGCTTCACCACATGGCGCCCATCTAGTGGCTTGCTTAACACTTCGTAGAAACTTTTCCAATCTTTAAATTCCAACATTGATGCAAGAGCAGACATTACTTAAAACTTCCTTCCCATCTGAAGAACAGATCTCAATCATGCAACAGTCATCCACAACTCATACTACTGCGGGGTTTCAATATGGCAAAGTCACATATGGAATTTTTTACATTCCACCCTTACAATTTTTATTTTTATTTAAAGTGATGCATTTAATCGTAGCATATAATCAAGACCTTGGATGAATTTTTGTTAGAAAGTAAGTATCATTTTACTGTGCATTCACATCACAACTCCACCTCTTTCCCTTACTTAAGAGTGAGGTGACCCCATTCTCTCTCTTCTATGTTTGTCTATCTATTTGTCTGTCTATTTGTCTCTTTCTCTTTCTCTCTTTTCATATTCTTGTATTTTCTTGAATTGCCATACACGCAGTTGGCTGTTTGCGGTCGATGGCATCTCTTACACGCAGCCTCGGCTCCTGCAGCCACCATCTGATGGAGGCTTGAACAAAATGCCGAAACATCCCTGCTGGTGATCTTTGTCGAGACATGAAAGAATTCAACAAGTCAACTGCAGACTTTTCTCCTCCCCAAGGCAAAAAAAAGAACCAAGGCTTGCTTCACCACATGGTGCCCGTCTAATGGCTTGCTTAAGACTTTGTAGAAACTTCTGCTTGTTATCTTCTTCACATCTTGTCGCATTGAGCAACATGACTAACATGTTCTGCACATGCTAGTCATGTTGGACTGGGATGGCCTAGAAGTTGAGGAACAAATATGTTTGTCAACAATACGAGTGGACACTATTCCTTCCCTGGTTTGATTTGAAAGAAGGTAAACAGCTCGTCTGAGATTACATCTAGGCCTTTGAGGACTGTCAGATGAGATGTTAGTTCATAGATGATCCACAAATTGTGATTGGCCTACTCATACATAGATTGACCCCAGGTCTTCGGAATGAAGTGCTTAAGTACAACCCATCCGAGGTCGATGAGGCCTATCACATTGTGGAGCACATGGAGTGCCTTGGCGATGAATTATCGACTATGACACAACAGCCCATCAAGACGACCACCACATGTTCCACCTTTGAAGTCTCTCCTTTACAAACTCACATTAGCATAGGAAACGGTCAGACCATCCCTGCCACCTCCGTGGGGTCATCTCGTTAGACAATTACCTCGAGCATGGTGGTCTGAGCACCTATTACTTCCCAAGCCCATATCACTTGTTTCAAGTGCCAAGACAAGGGACACTGAGCAAGCCAGTGTCCATCTTCAAACCTACTTATAGGTATCGAAGATGCCAACCCTAGTGTCTAGGGTGACGACACCTCCCCTAGCAATGACATCTACATCACGGCAGATGAGTTAGCTGATGAGTGTGTTGACACTCAAGCCTTGATCGATTACATCGAAAGCAAGCCTGCCACCATCTCTTCCACACTTGTCCCTGCCCTAACACAATTGGTTAGTATAGCTGTCCACAGCCCCAGCAATAGTGGATCACGCTTGCCATCCTAGTCAACAATGACCTTGGCAGACATACCTCAGCCACCCCCAATTTGATCACCATCATTGTGAGCTAGGTCCTAGACACCATCAATTGATTTGATGATAGAGGACGCTCTTTGCATGTCGATCTTCCACATGTACATGAAGATCAACAACCAAGTGTGTAAGTTGATCATTGATAGTGCATGTTGATGTCAATCACAATGATGTAATATAATATCAACTAATATTTCAAAAAATTTCTCAAAGAATACAAATTTTTATAAATTTTAGACTATGAAATAAAAATAAAATATATTTAAAATTAACTAAAAAAGGAATTAAGGGTGCGGACGTCAAGATGACATCAACACTTGATGAACGTGAATTGGATGGAAATAAAATTATGTTTGATGATTCTTACGTAAATGATTATAGATGATTTAATTAGTAAAATTATGATCTATAAAAGTTGGAAGAATCATAATTAAATAAAAAATAGTTTGAAAATTTTAAATCACACAAATTATCTCTAAATGAAGTAAAAATTAAGTTGAAAGTAGAAAAGATAAAGGTCTGACGTCGTGGCAATGATGCGTCGATGATGCACTAGAATCTTAAGCATTCAGGTAGATTGTCATGTAGTGTTCACAGCCTTGAATGTTCTTCTTAGCTAAAGACGATGTGGGCAATCTCTAGATCTTCTCATGAAGTCTAAAGATCAATGAAATAGGTTGTCAAATCATCTTCGATGACTGTCACTTGGTGGAGTACAAAAACGACGACTTTGCAGCTCTTCGGCAACTATCACCTGAGAGAGAAGTATTGAATGGAGGTGGGACACGTGTTAGGGAGCTTCATCCTTAGGTCTACACAATAAGAAGAGGCTCTTCATTGCATTTGGTATGCCCTCAAGAGATGGCGACTCGCCTCTCAGCTGATCGTCCTCTTCTTGACGACGACTTGTTCGTCAATCAATAGGAGATGATTTACTCGATGGATTCGTGATCTTTTTATCAAGAATCTTTCAACAATTTTAGTAACAATATTCAGTAAATTTTGTTGACAAGATTTTTGTCGATGATCGAGCAATTCTAGCAACTTAATCCTTCACTGGCAATTTGTAAGAAAGTCGTAATTTAATCAGATAAAAATAGGATTCAAACCCGCACCATCGCCCATCTGTGTGAGAGAGGGTGAAATAAGTATGCAAATACTCTTATAAAGTGATGTCATTAGACTACCTCCTGATAAATAAGGGGTATTTTAGGTATGAAAATATTTAAAATCATTCTAGAGAAGATGTGAGTGTCGATTTAGTCCCACATCAGTTATACGCTAATTGTTGAGATGTATATATGCTAATGCAAGATTTGGGAATCAATGTGTCCCTTTCTCGCATGTGTACAACCACTCCTTGCTCTATAGCTAGCTGGCCACTAGAGACGTGGAAGGGGAGTGCATACATGTGCCCCCATCGGTCCATAGCCACTCGAGCACTTGCTTGTGGCTCCACCTTGACTACGCTTCCGACCTACTTGTAGACCTAGCTAGCCAGCGGGTCCCCTATTTTTTAACTTTTTTCTTTTATTTTCTTTCTCTTCATTTATCTCAAAAATAGGATTATAAAAATTATATAAAATCATATAAAATCACATAATTAGCCAAAAAATGTAGAGTTTAGGCCTTGCGTCATTGGATTGTTAGAATTCTACATGATTGGGATAATTATCATGTGATGTCTAAGGCCTAAAAGGCTCTCCATAGACATGGACCACTTAGGCACCCTCTAGATCTCTTTTTAAAGTCTAAAAACTGATGGTGAAAGTTAAACTAGTTAAAATGGTACAATAGAGTTTTGTCGTCACAACAGCGATGCATTAGAATCTTGAGTGTTCAAAGAGGATTATCGTGAAATGTCAATGGCCTCAAAGGCTCTCTTTGAACAAAGACAACATGAAAAATATCTAGATCTTCATGGTCTAGAAAATAATGAGGTGGGTTGACAAATCATCTTCAGTAACTATCAGTCAGTGGAGCGAAAAACTGACGACTTTGTAGATTTGCAATGGTTATCACTTGACAGAGATAAATTGGATGGACGTGAGGTGTATCTTAGAGAGTTTCGTTCTCAGGTCTGCATAGTAAGAGTAGTCTCTTCATTGCATCTGATATGCTCTTAAGAGGTGGCAACTCATCTCCTAGTAGATTATCTTCTTCCTAATGAAAACTTATTTATCAATCAATCCGAGATGATTTACTCGATGAATTCACAATCCTTTTATTCTGAATCATTTGACAATTTTAGTAATGATGCTCCGCAAATCACATTGATAAGATTTTCAATAGTGATTGAGCAATTATGACGGCTTATTTGCTTATCGATAATTTACATGAAAAATCTGATTTAATCATAGAAAAATATCAGTATTAGCTCTAGTAAGATTTGAAGCTTCACTGGTCACCTGTTTGTATAAGAGAGAGTGAAATAAGTATGTAAATACCCTTAAAAAATGACATCATAAAGGTATTGTCTTCTCATAAATAAGGGATATTTTGGATGTTAAAATTATTAAAAATATTTTAGGAAGTTGTGATGTCGATTTAATCCTAGATAAATTATTTTTTCAGTTTTGAGATGCACATATAGTAATACAATATTCTATCATCAGTGAGTCTTTCTTTCACATGTGTATAGTAGTCCAATATTCTATCTCAATAGGTATCTCTCTTGCATCTCTATGACCACTCCTTTATAGATGGGCCCACTATACCTAGGGAAATTTGGCTTCATATGATTATATAGTAGTTGTCAAAGCTACATGTTCAAATGGCCACTGATGATGTGGAAGGGGAGTGGCACACATGTGTATCCTATTAGTATTTAGTCGCTTGCAGCTCCACTTGATTGTGCTTCTAACCCGCTTGCAGTCCCGACTGGCTGGTAGGTCCCCACCCTTTTTCTATATTTTTTATTTTATTTATTTTCATTTATCTGAAAAATATGATTATAAAAATTATATAAACTCACATAAAATCACATAATTAGCCAAAAATTGCCATAAAGTAGTTGGCTTTCTGTGGTCCACGGCATCTCTTACATGCAGCCTCACTCCCGCAGTCATTGTCTGATTGAGGCTTGAACAAAATGCCGAAACATCTCTACTGGCGATCTTTGTCGAGACATGAAAGAATTCAACTAGTCAACTGACAACTTTTCTCCTCCCCAAGGCAAAAAAAAGAAATGAGGCTTGCTTCACCACATGGCGCCCATCTAATGGCTTGCTTAAAACTTCGTAGAAACTTCTCCAATCTTTAAATTCCAGCATTGATGTGAGAGTAGACGTTACTTAAAACTTCCCTTCCGAAGAACAGATATCAATCATGCAACAGTCATCCGCAACTCATACTGCTGCGGGGTTTCACTATAGCAAAGCCACATATGGAATTTTTTACTTTCCACCCTTACAGTTTTTTTTGTTTATAAAGTGATGCATTCAATCGTAGCGTATAACCAGGACCTTGGATGAATTTTTCTTAGAAAATAAGTATCATTTTACTGCGCATTCACATCGCAGCTACGCGTCTTTCCCTTGCCTGAGAGCGACGTGACCCCGTTCTCTCTCTTCTATGTCTGTCTGTCTGTCTCTTACGAACCTTTCCGGACGTCTGTGTCTCTTATCTATTTCTCCCTCATATTCTTCGCGTCTCGCCCCATTGAGCAACATGACTGACACGTTCTGCACGCACCGTATTGACGGAGAATGACAGACAACGACCATCAGTGAAATAAATGAAGACAAATATAGAAAGTGACGCCGTCGACGTGACTCTGGAAATCGGAGACTGAACCTCTGATTTCCTCATGCGACTGCACCCGGTGCACTCTCATCATAATCAACAGGGACTTATTATGAGAATTTTGTCATGTGAACAGGAAGGAAATTCCATGTCATCATCCAACAAAGGCATCATTGGCGCGGTTGATAAAACAAATCTAGGTGCAGAAAATGGTGCTTCGATGGATGCCGACGGCTGAGGAGCTTTGCGGCTGGACTGGAGACGTTTCAACGCGAAGAGATCTTACACAAAAAATATTCCATCAGAAGCACAACTCAGAAACAAAGGTCCCGATGCCATTAACTAAAATAATTTTCCATAACTAGAACATTAGGAAGTTCCTTTTTGATGTCCCGTTTGAGCACTTGGCCTTCTTTGTACACATAACGACCCCCCCTAACCGTCACATATTAAAGAAATAATATGATCATGCGTCGCTTGAGCTTCACGCCTTCAGCTGCGCTTTTTGACGAACCCTTTTCTCATCCGACAGCATCCTCGCAAATCTGCATGAGAAGGAAGATCAGGTGAAGTATTCACGATATAATTTGGATGGTAGCGTATAGTGTGGAAATTTTTCAACGTTTGTCTAAGATGAGTGATAAATGGCGGATCAGATGTGGTTGTCAATGTCGAAACGAACATGCTTGATAAAAAATCTGTACACCGCATAAATTCTTTAGATGAATGACCGTTACCTTTTAAGGGCTTCTCTGTTTTTCTCCGCTCCTACAGGTTCATTCCGGCCGGTGTCAAGATTGACCCTCGAAACTGGTTTGTCGAGCAAGTCCTCTCCGATTTTCACTAACTTCCCTAAATTCTCCTTTGTTGCGATGTCGACGGACGAAGCGTCCCCGGAGAGCGTGTCGTCCTGCGTTTTCACAATATCTCTTGTGAATCCATGATTGACAGAAAGAACACCGATTTATTTAGGGTTGAAACCTGGGTGCGCGTGTGTGTCTGCGCGCGTCTGTATGTGTACGTGCGTACCGCAGAACACAGAAGATAAGACTAACCTGGATTCTCAAGTAGTTTTCCTCACAACGCAGGGTCTGGAAGACGGCGGAGATATGAAGGTCGACCATGTCCACGCTCGCTTGGGTGAACACATCGATTAAGGGATTCGACCCCTGGTTGTTCAACCATCCGACTATACCCCACTTCGCGGCATCTCCCGCGCTGTACTTGTCCATCTGCGTCGTACCGGTGCCCAGGGATACGAGCAGAACCTTCTTTAAGTCCAGCTGCTCAGAATTGCCCACCTCCGGGTTCTTCCTTCTCGTCTCCTTGGTCATATCTCTGATAGCAAGCAGTGCCTACAGGGCATCTTCCTCGTCAGTTAAGAGGCTGTACGTGCATTCCTTTAGTCCATCACAGCTATCTTGTCCCCGCATTGGAAGAAACAAATAAACTACGCTAATGCCTCACCGGATTGTTTGCGGCCACGCCTCCGTCGATAAGGTTGAACTCCCTCTTCCCCCCACGAGGTGTCTGTACGTTGAAGTAGTAGGCCGGCAGGTAGGTGGGGGCGGCTGAGGTGCTAATGCAGACGTCGGAGAGAGTCGCATTCAAACAATTGCCGTTCTTCGCCTGAGATCAGTTCATTCCAGTTGTTCAGAAAGCATCCAAAAAGAGTGAGAGTGAGTGAGAGAGAGAGAGAGAGAGCGAGTGAGAGAGAGAGAGAGCGAGAGAGAGAGATAGGAAAAACAATGGCAGCTCCTCGGGTTAAAACTGACGTGCACACCTCAGAACTGGAAAAGACAGTGGGTTGGAGATTCCTGATGTCGAAGGCCGGAATGAGCACGTTTGTCAGTGTGTCCCCTAACTTAACACTTCCCAGTTTTTCCCTTATAAGCTTGTGAAGGTATTTTCCATCATATCTCGGTCCTGTGATACCATTGATCAGTTGGCGGATTCCGGCGAGCGGGCCCCTGGTTCCACAAATTACGATGTATCAGGAGGCCGATGTAAGACATACTGAGATCATATAAACGACAACCAGGAATTTTCCGTGCTGTAATCCCGGTAGTTACCTGATCTGGGGGAAAATCTTAGGGCAGTTCTCAAGGTAGAAGTCCTTGATATCTTTGGCGGCTAGGATGGGGCGATTGTGTTCATTGGGAGCCGTCAGCATGGCCGTCACGAGGCCCCCGGTGCTTGTCCCTGCAATCACGTCGAAGTAGTCTGCGATCTTCGCATCCTCCCCGTCGAGCTCCTGTCGAAAGTAAGCGGAATGAATCTACGCGTGAGAACAGCCCGGCAATGTTGAGAATGGATGGCCAATGTCTCCCTACTCAATACATCCGTAGGAAAAAACGAGAAATAATGAAAAAAATTCGAACGATGCATGCATTCGGTGGTGTTCTCCAAATTTTTAACGACGTGTCTGAAAGTCTTACTAATCAGTATTTTTTAGTTAACTGCGAAGAATGAAGACTATGAATTTATAGGTTTTTGGTATGAATGCATCTGGGAGAAGTGCCGCTCGGTTGGACGCCGTGGAACAGGCATCTGCTCTTTCTTTAACATACCTGAAGTTCTTTCTCCAGGAAGGCGATAATGGTAGCCGGGATGATGCCTCTGACACCGCCTCCGTCTATGCTGAGGATGGTGATCAGGTTGTCGCTGACCGCCGACTGAGTCACGAAGCTCTCGGCGACGGAGTCCATGAAGATGGTGTGGGTAACTCTTACAGAGACCAGGAAGAGGAAGAAAAAGAAAAAGGGATCCAACGAAAACCCCAACGAAAGACGAGGACTCTGAAAAACAGAAGACGAAGAACCAAGACGGGAAGTGGACAAAGAGAAAAGAGTGAGAAGGAGAAAAGAATGAGAAGAACGGATTGGTAGTGCTTGTACGATTTCAGGCACTGTTGGTCTTCCCAGAGAGTAGGCAGGTTTTATAGATAAGAGGGATAGTTTTCGGACGAACACCGAACGTTCAGAGACTGGTGCCTGCGTCGAAGGATACCATCGAGTCGAGGACAAGTTTGACTGGATTCCATCCATGGTGGATATACGACAACAAGGCAGGACGGGATTGACCGTGGCACGTGCTCACCCTCCGAGGCTTCGAAGAGCTAGCGCTTGCTTGCGTTAAAACGTAGCAATCCCGATAGAAAGCACGTGTTTGAACCCCTTCACGGTCAAAACTTGGGCGGCTTTATCCATAGGAGGAAATAAATCGCGTCGAGTCCCTGTGAACTTGGCCCGGTTTCCTCGGATGTTAAGATTGAAAGTCAAATTATATAAAAGTTAAACCGTGCTTTTCTCGTTTTCCGTCGTATCTAAAAATTAGTGCAGACTGAGAAGTCCATTAAATTGTAGTTCTCCACGTAGGCTGGGTTTACGTCTCTCCTTCTCTCTCTTGCCGTAAATACATGTGTCTATTTATAGTACACCTCTTTCTTCATATCTCTGCCATCAATATCTACCTATCTTCGAGCAAGCTCAATCTTGGAGACCGGTGAAAAGAGTGATCGAAGTCTTCTTCCCGTTTTCTCCTGACACTGATTCCGAGTTTACTGTTTTGGTTGAACGATAGGGTTATAATGACGGCAATTACAGTGCAAATGAGATGCAGAAATGATCTTCAACACAGAAATTTTTTGTACAATCACATCCTCTCTAAATCGTAATTGCATCTTTTGAATAGTTTGCATGGTTAGATGCCTTGTTTGCTACATTTTCTGAATAGATAATCGGTAATAGAGTACTTTCTACACTTCTATCTTGGATCAAAGATACATTTTGATATCTTAAAGACCTATGGGATTTGACTTGGCTTGATTGGATCCAACTTTTACGTTGAGCCCCTAACCCCAACAGACATAAATGTAGAAAATAAATCCATAAAATTCAACAAGTTTTGTGCATTCATGAATGATATTCTTTCTCATTTTTTTCTATTTACCTTTCAATAAGTGACGAGACCTAGTCATTATATAATAGATCACGTAAATTTAAATATTTATAAAATAAGAAAATATAGGTCAATAGGTGATGATATTTAGAAGTATTTATGAAAAGATATATCAATTATAATTCTATAAAAGTTTCAAAAATAGTGATAATTTTTCAACTCGATCACAGGGATGTAATATAATATCGAGTAATGTTTTATAATTTTTTGCAAAAAATATGATTTTTTATGAGTTTTAGATAAAGTAATAAAAATTAAATATATCTAAAATTCACGAAAAAAGAAAATAAGAGTGCAGATATCAGGATGATGTCAACACCCCGATGAACGTGAATTGGGTAGAAACATAGTTGCCTCTAATGATTCTTATGTAAGCGATTATGTACGATTTATTTGGTCAAATTAAGATATGTAAAAGCTAGAAAAATTATAATTTATTAAAGAAGAGATTCGAAACTTGGAATCACACAAAGTATCACTAAACCAAGTAAAAATTAAGTTGAAAGGAAGAAATGTAGAGTTTCGGCCTTGCGACATGGATTGTTGGAATTCTACATAATCTGGATAATTATTGTGCAATGTCTAAGGCCTCAAAAGCTCTATGTAGACATGGACCACTTAGGCGCTCTCTAAATCTCTTTTCAAAGTCTAGAAAATAATAGTGAAAGTTAAACTAGTTAAAATGGTAAAATAGAGTTCTATCGTTGCGTCAACGATGCGTCATAATCTTGAATGTTTAGAGAGGATTATCGTGAAATGTCAATGGCCTCAAAGGGTCTCTTTAGAGATAGATGACATGAACAATATCTAGATCTTCTTGGTCTAGAAATTAATGAGGTGGGTTGATGAATCATCTTTGACAACTATTAGTCGGTGGAGCGAAAAATTGACGACTTTGTAGATCTGCGACGGTTATCACTCGATAGAGATAAATTGGATGGACGTGAGGTGTATCTTAAGGAGTTTTGTCCTCAAGTTCGCATAGTAAGAGTAGTCTCTTCATCGCATCTGATATGCTCTTAAGAGGTGGCAACTCATCTCCTAGTAGATTATCTTCTTCCTAATGAAAACTTATTTATCAATCAATCCGAGATGATTTACTCGATGAATTCACAATCTTTTTATTTTGAATCATTTGACAATTTTAGTAATGATGCTCCACAAATCACGTTGATAAGATTTTCAATAGTGATTGAGCAATTATGACGGCTTAATTGCTTATCGATAATTTACATAAAAAATCTGATTTAATCATAGAAAAATATCAGTATTAGCTCTAGTAAGATTTGAAGCTTCACTAGTCACCTATTTGTATAAGAGAGAGTGAAATAAGTATGTAAATACCCTTAAAAAATGACATCATAAAGGTATTGTCTTCTCATAAATAAGGGATATTTTGGATATTAAAATTATTAAAAATATTTTAGGAAGTTGTGATGTCGATTTAATCCTAGATAAATTATTTTTTCAGTTTTGAGATGCACATATAGTAATACAATATTCTATCATCAATGAGTCTTTCTTTCACATGTGTATAGTAGTCCAATATTCTCTCATCAATGAGTCTTTCTTTCACATGTGTATAGCAGTCCAATATTCTATCATCAATGAGTCTTTCTTTCATGTGTGTATACTAGTCCAATATTCTATCATCAATGAGTCTTTCTTTCACATGTGTATAGTAGTCAAATATTCTATCATCAATGAGTCTTTCTTTCACGTGTGTATAGTAGTCCAATATTCTATCATCAATGAGTCTTTCTTTCACATGTGTATAGTAATCTAATACTCTATCTCAATAAGTCTCTCTCTTGCATCTCTATGACCACTCCTTTATAGATGAGCCCACTATACCTAGAGAAATTCGGCTTCATATGATCATATAGTAGTTGACAAAGCCGCATGTCTAGATGGCCACTAATGATGTGGAAGGGGAGTGGCACACATGTGTATCCTATCAGTCTTTAGTCGCTTGCAGCTCCACTTGATTGTGCTTCCAACATGCTTGCAAGCCTAGTTAGCTGGTAGGTCCCCACCCTTTTTCTATATTTTTATTTATTTATTTATTTTCATTTATCTCAAAAATATGATTATAAAATTATATAAACTCACATAAAATCACATAATTAGCCAAAAATTCACATCAACTACTCTCTCTCTCTCTCTCTCTCTCTCTCTCTCTCTCTTTCATACTCTTATCTTTTCTTGAATTGCCATAGAGTAGTTGGCTTTCTGTGGTCCACGGCATCTCTTACACGCAACCTCGCTCCCACAGTAGTCATCTGATGGAGGCTTGAACAAAATGCCAAAACATCGTTGCTCACTATCTTTGTCAAGACATGAAAGAATTCAACAAGTCAACTGCTGACTTTACTCCTCCCTAGGGCAACAAAAAGAACCGAGGCTTGCTTCACCACATGGTGCCCATCTAGTGGCTTGCTTAAAACTTCGTAGAAACTTCTCCAATCTTTAAATTCCAACATTGATGCGAGAGCGGACGTTACTTAAAACTTCCTTCCCATCCAAAGAACAAATCTCAATCATGCAACAGTCATCTGCAACTCATACTGCTGTGGGGTTTCACTACGGCAAAGCCACATGGAATTTTTTACATTCCACCCTTACAATTTTTATTTTTATTTAAAGTGATGCATTCAATTGTAGTGTATAACCAGGACCTTGGATGAATTTTTGTTAGAAAATAAGTATCATTTTACTACGCATTCACATCACAGCTCCGCCTCTTTCCCTTGCTTAAGAGTGAGGTGACCCCGTTCTCTCTCTTCTATGTCTATTTGTCTGTCTATCTATCTATCTCTCTCTCTCTCTCTCTCTTTATACTCTTGTATTTTCTTGAATTGCCATAGAGTAGTTGGGTGTTTGCGGTCAATGGCATCTCTTACACACAGCCACGGCTCCTGCAGCCGCCGTCTGATGGAGGCTTGAACAAAATGTCGAAACATCCCTACTGGTGATCTTTGTCGAGACATGAAAGAATTCAACAAGTCAACTGCAGACTTTTCTCCTCCCCAAGGCAAAAAAAAGAACCAAGGCTTGCTTCACCACATGGTGCCCGTCTAATGGCTTGCTTAAGACTTTGTAGAAACTTCTGCTTGTTATCTTCTTCACATCTTGTCGCATTGAGCAACATGACTAACATGTTCTGCACATGCTAGTCATGTTGGACTGGGATGGCCTAGAAGTTGAGGAACAAATATGTTTGTCAACAATACGAGTGGACACTATTCCTTCCCTGGTTTGATTTGAAAGAAGGTAAACAGCTCGTCTGAGATTACATCTAGGCCTTTGAGGACTGTCAGATGAGATGTTAGTTCATAGATGATCCACAAATTGTGATTGGCCTACTCATACATAGATTGACCCCAGGTCTTCGGAATGAAGTGCTTAAGTACAACCCATCCGAGGTCGATGAGGCCTATCACATTGTGGAGCACATGGAGTGCCTTGGCGATGAATTATCGACTATGACACAACAGCCCATCAAGACGACCACCACATGTTCCACCTTTGAAGTCTCTCCTTTACAAACTCACATTAGCATAGGAAATGGTCAGACCATCCCTGCCACCTCCGTGGGGTCATCTCATTAGACAATTACCTTGGGCATGGTGGTCTGAGCACCTATTACTTCCCAAGCCCATATCACTTGTTTCAAGTGCCAAGACAAGGGACACTGAGCAAGCCAGTGTCCATCTTCAAACCTACTTATAGGTATCGAAGATGCCAACCCTAGTGTCTAGGGTGACGACACCTCCCCTAGCAATGACATCTACATCACGGCAGATGAGTTAGCTGATGAGTGCGTTGACACTCAAGCCTTGATCGATTACATCGAAAGCAAGCCTGCCACCATCTCTTCCACACTTGTCACTGCCCTAACACAACTAGTCAGCATAGCTGTCCACAGCCCCAGCAATAGTGGATCACACTCGCCATCCCAATTAGCAAGGACCTCGGCAGTTAGACCTCAGCCACCCTTAGCTTGATCACTATCATTGTGAGCTAGGTCCTAGACACCATTGATTGATTTGATGATAGAGGACGCCCTTTACATGTCGATCTTCCACACATACATGAAGATCAACTGCCAAGTGTGTAAGTTGATCATCGACAATGGTAGTTGATGTGATTTAGTTATTGTATAGTAAAAAATGTAAATTTAAAATTTATAAAATGAGAAAATATCAATTTTCAAATATTTAGAAGTATTTCTAAATAAATATATCAATTATAATTCAATAAAAAAATCAAAAATAGTAAAAAATATCTAGGTCAATCACAAGGAGTAATATAATATCAACTAATATTTCAAAAAATTTCTCGAAGAATACAAATTTTTATAAATTTTAGACTATAAAATAAAAATAAAATATATTTAAAATTCACAAATAAAGGAATTAAGGATGCGGATGTCAAGATGACACCAACACTTGACGAACGTGAATTGGATGAAAATAAAATTATATTTGGTGATTCTTACGTAAATGATTATAGATGATTTAATGAGTAAAATTATGATCTATAAAAGTCAAAAGAATCATAATTAAATAGAAAGTAGTTTGAAAATTTTAAATCACACAAATTATCTCTAAATGAAGTAAAAATTAAGTTGAAAGTAGAAAAGATAAAGCTTCAGTGTCGTGGTGGTGATGCATTGATGATGCACTAGAATCCTAAGCATTCAAGCAGATTGTCATGTAGTGTCTATAGCCTTGAAGGCTCTCCTTAGATAAGAACGACGTGGGCAATCTCTAAATCTTCTCGTGAAGTTTAGAGATCAATGAAATAGGTTGTTGACGTGACTCAGTCGTTGTATGTTAAATCACGCAAATATAAAATTTATAAAACTAGAAAATACGAATTTTCAGATATTTAGAAGTATTTCTAAATAAATATATCAATTATAATTCAATAAAAATTCCAAAAATAGCAGTAATTTTCCAGGTCGATCACAGGGATGTAATATAATATCTGGTAATTATTCAGAATTTTTCTCAATGAGTACGATTTTCTTACGAATTTTATACTAGGAAATAAAAAGGAAACATATTTAAAATTCACGAAAAAAAAGGAAATAAGGGTGCGGACGTCAGGATGACGTCAGCGCCCGGCGAACGCGAATCAGGCGGAAACACAGTTCCGCCCGGCGATTCTTACGTAGGCGATTACAGACGACTCAATTAATCAAATTAAGATCTGTAAAAGCCGGAAGAACCGTAGTTGAACGAAGTATAGTTTGGTAAATAAAAATCAACAAAGTATCACTAAATGAAGCGTAAATTAAATTGAAAGCAGGAAAACAGAGTTCCGGCGTCGCGACGACGATGCGTCGGCGATGCACCGGAATCCTGAGCGTTCGGGAGGATCGTCGTGCAGTGTCCACGGCCTCGAAGGCTCTCCTTGGACAAAGACGACGTGGGCAATCTCTAGATCTTCTCGCGAAGTCTAGAGACCAATGAAGTGGGTCGTCGAATCGTCTCCGGCGGCTGTCACCCGGCGGAGCGGAAAAACGGTGACTTTGCGGCTCTCCGGCGGCTGTCACCCGACGGAGAGGAGCTGGATGGAGGTGGGGCGCGTGTCAGGGAGCTTCATCCTCAGGTCCGCGCAGCAAGAGGAGGCTCTTCATCGCATCTGGTACGCTCTCAGGAGGTGGCGACTGGTCTCCCGGCGGATCGTCCTCTTCCCGACGACGGCTTGTTCGTCGATCAATCGGAGATGATTTACTTGATGGATTGCGATCCTTTTATCGCGAATCGTTCAGAAATTTTAGTAACAATGCTCCGCGAATCGCGTTGACGAGATTTTTGCCGATGATCCAGCGATTCCGGTTGCTTAATCCTTCACCGGCGATCTGCAGGAAAGTCGCGATAATCAGTTAAAAATATATGAATTTTGACTCTGGGAGGATTCAAACCCGCGGCGGTCGCCCGCCCCTTACAAGGTGGATTTAGTCCCACATCGGTTGTGGGCGGATTATTCGGGCGAATATAGAGTAAAGTTAGCTTTCTAGGCAAAGTCCTCTCGCGTGTACGACCACTCCTTGCCCCACAGTCGGCTGACTACCGGTGACGTGGAAGGGGAGTGGCGCACACGTGCCCCTATCGATCCAAGTAAGCCGCTCGAGCCCCTGCTCGCGGCTACTCCCCGACTGCGCTTCCAACCCGCTTGCGGGTCTGGCTGGCCGGCGGATTCCCCCATTTTGCAATATTTTTATTTTTATTTCTTGTTCTTCATTTATCTCAAAACTAAGACTGTAAAAATCGTATAAAATCACATAATTACCCAAAAATTCACGTTAATCAACTGAAAACCACTTTTCATGCTTTAACACAAATATAAGTCTATTTATCATGAGTTAAGGCTAAAACTATATTATTTACTAATTATTAACTTATGATAATGAAGACTTATCAGTTGTCGAATCATCTTTGATGATTCTCACTTGGTGGAGTAGAAAAACGACGACTTTGTAGCTCTTTGGTGGCTATCACCTGACAGAGAAGAGTTGAATAGAGGTGGGGCATGTGTTAGGGAGCTTCATCCTTAGGTTCGCACAATAAGAAGAGGCTCTTCATTGCATTTGGTATGCCCTTAAGAGGTGGCGACTCGTCTTTCAGCGAATCGTCCTCTTCTTGACGACGACTTGTTTGTCAATCAATGGGAGATGATTTACTCGATGGATTCGTAATCTTTTTATCAAGAATCTTTTAGTACTTTAAGTAACAATGTTTGGTAAATCGTGTTGATAAGATTTTTACTGATGATCAAGAGATTATAGTAGCTTAATCCTTCACTAGTGATCTATAAGAAAGTCATAATTTAATCAGATAAAAATATGAGTCTTGGCTTTGGTAAGATTCAAAACTGCACCAGTCGCTCATCTATGTGAGAGAGGGTGAAATAAGTACGCAAATACTCTTATAAAGTGACGTCATTAGACTACTTCCTGATAAACAAGGGGTATTTTAGGTATTAAAATCTTCAAAATCATTTTGAGGAAGATGTGAGCGTCGATTTAGTCCCACATCAGTTATACACTAATTGTTGAGACGTATATATGCTAATGAAAGATTTGGGAATCAATGAGTCCCTTTCCTACGTGTGTACAACCACTCCTTGCTCTATAGCTAGCTGGTCACCAAAGACGTGGAAGGGGAGTGCATACATGTGCCCCCATCGATCCATGGCCGCTCAAGCACTTACTTGCAGCTCCACCTTGACTATGCTTCCGATCTCCTTATAGACTCAGTTGGCCGACAGGTTCCCCCTTTTTCTATTATTTTATTTTATTTTATTTTTCTTCATTTATGTCAAAAATAGGATTATAAAAATCATATAAAATTATATAAAATCACATAATTAGCCAAAAAATTACATTAAGTAACTAAAAACTATTTTTCACAATTTAACATAAATATAAGTCTATTTATCATGAGTTAAAGCTAAAAATATATTATTTATTATTTATTAACTCATGATAATGAAAACTTATTAGTAGTTGTGTTAATGCAATATTTGACGCAATAGTCTAGAGACTTGGATTGGTGACCACTAGCCATCTGTCCCCTTATGATGTGTCTTGGATAGACACCACATCACTTCCAATGCAACTTCAGTGCTAGGTGCCACTCAAGGTGAGCACCTATGATGACCATGTCCTTTGCGACATCTTGCTAATGAAAATTAGAAGCATCACACACATACATTCGTGGTTGTACAATAATGACGTCCACCTCTTGGGAAGAGCAAATACTTGCTCTTGCATGCATCATGGTCAGAGGGTTGAATGGTACCCCTACACCATCAAGTCTCTAATTAGACGAGTGATGACCACTCAAGTAAGATTGGTGGTCATTAGGGGACCAACATTTCATAGGGACATTACTAGGGAGATCACTGATACTCCCACCTGCTTTGCCTTGATGTTGGATGCTCTTGCTGCCACCACCCCTTCTTCATTCCCACCTGAGTATGGCGACATATTCCCTAAGGAGTTGCTTGGCAAGTTATTGTTGATGCACCATATACAACATGCAATTGATCTCATGCTGGGAGCCACACTCCCGAACTTGCCACATTACTTTATGGAGCCCTCAAGATATGAGGAGCTATATCGTTAGGTCCAAGAACTGTTGGTGAAGGTCTTATCCAAGAGAGCCTTAGTCCTTGTGCCTTTCCTGCACTTCTAGCGTCGAAGAAAGATGGCACTTGGCACATGTGCTGCGATAGTCGCACGATCAACAAGATTACGGTCAAGTATCATTTTCCAATCCCACACCTTTAGGACTTGATTGACATGATGGTCAGTGCCACTATTTTCTCAAAGATCGATTTGAGTAGTTACCATCAAGTTTGGATTTATTTGGGAGATGAGTGGAAGACTGCTAGTAAGATAAAGGATGGTCTATATGAATGGAGAGTTATGCCTTTCTACCTCTCCAATGTGCCGAGCACTTTTTAGCATCTCATGAATGAGGTCTTACGCCCCTTCATTGGGAAGCTCATTGTCGTCTACTTCGATGACATCTTGATCTACAACTGCGCACAAGACGATCATCTCCAATGCTTGAGATAGGTTTGTGCTGCACTTTAGAGTGTGGAGCTATATGCTCACTTGAAGAAGTGTAGTTTCTTCACAAATGAGGTTTCCTTTCTAGGATTCATCATTTCAGCACAAAGAGTCTTCATTGACCTTGACAAGGTTTGTACCATCATATCTTGGCCTCGATTGGCCAACATTCATGATATTCAAGGCTTCATCGGCTTGGCGACTATTAAAGCTAGTTTTTTGTGTTTTAATTAGTTTTATTATTTTATTTTATTTTATTAACTTGCATAAATAAATATAGGATATATTGTTAATTTTAAAGTCTGAAGTTAAAATACTTAGCATAATTTTTTTTATTAAAATAAAAAGAATAAAATGTAAAAAATATTCTATATGTTGTCAAGCTGGAACTCTACAACTAACTTGGAGAGGTGCTATAGTTGAGTGGGTAGACCTAGACTAGGGGAGCCATGAGCTAGGTTCAAGTGGCGAAGGACTCATTCCATGCATGTGTGCATCACTCTCCTTCCACATCATAGTGGTCAACTAGTCATGGGGCAAGGAGCATCTGTACACATGTGCGCGTGTGAGGGTGGATCACCTTTTTGCCTTCTCCCAAGATGGTCTTGGATATTATTTTATTTTGGGAGAAGGGATCTCTATTGAGATAGAGTAACTTTGATTTATCTTCAGCTTAAATGATGGAAAACTTCTAATGTGGGACTAAAGGTTTTCATTCGTCTTAGGGCAAGCATCTAGAGTGTGCTATGATCTAGTGGTATTCAACGAGCCATGTCATCAGATGAGTCAGATCCTACAGTTGGTGAGCCACCATAATACCAAATACGTAAAGTGATCCATTGGTGGTTTGCGAATCCAATGCCACTTAGCACACATATGGCTTTAAAGGATGATCCAACAACTAAGAAGTTGCCATGGTATCAAGAATTGAAGTTCTCGGTCAGTAGTGGTTTGTGGCTAGTTGATCCTATGTTGCTTAGTGCACCACTTGACCAAGCACATTTAATCTAGTGGCTTGTGATACGTCACAATATTGGGAACTTAAGCTCTCACACATATCATCGTTAGGGATATAGAGACAATAATTGATTATTATCTAATAAAATAGACATTATCGATTATCTTTAAAATCCCAATGATGGTTGTGAATACGACAATTTGTTTCCTCCCTCTTTTGCACAATCAATGCCTCCAGCGATTAGCAAGTTCGTTTCTTCCTCCCCTAACTGCACTCAAGGCTTTCGGCGAGTGGTTAGATCTTCCCTTTTCCCCCCAGTTGACAGTGATAGCATGGTCAACCCCTCTTTTGGTAGATCTCTCTAGCAAGCAAGACAGCACTTCTGAACAATACTTCTATGACTTTCAACGTGATGTGGCACATCCGAACGAAACCAAGTTGCCACACTAGTGTCTCTAGTTGCCTAGGAGGTAGAATAAACTTGAGCAATGATTTATTTCATGCTTTTAGCATTTGCTTACTTGCTTTTGTCATTTATTTACATTTTACATCAAATTATGTCTATTTCATGCCGAAGAGTATACACAAACTTGAGCAATGATTTATCTTACATTTTACATCAAACTTGAGCAATGATTTATTTTGCCGTAGACGCTCGGCCTTCTTGCTGAAGTGCTGCCGCCGCGTGCGCCCCACGCGCCGGCTCTTGCGGCCCGTGCGGCCACCCGGCGCCAATGCCCGCGTGCCCTAGGGCACGCCGTGCGACTTGCCGTGCACGCCTGCTAGCATGCCCTTCGGCTCACCAGCGGGCCCACTCCCACTAGTGTGCCCTTTGGCCCACCTACAGGCCCACACCCACGCCAATTGTGCCACGCCCTAAGACGATGACTTTTGTGACCCTCGACAAGGACCGACCATTGATGCTGAGCATCGCTCTTCACCGGACGTCCCTGCCTTCGTTGGATCTCCACTCCATCATGACCCGCCAGGCTATGCAGCCCTGAAGGTTAGCTTCATACCCCTTCTTACTTAAGTTTAATTATCTTTCGAAGTGTTTTCTCGGCTCGTCTTTACCGCCTTTAGGAACATGTAGACAAAATAGGATAGGTTATTGGATCGTAACTTCCGACGCTGCGCCAGACTCATCATAGTTCGTGAGCTACAGCCCTAGGCTACTTCATGATGACAATTCTACCATCTGTCTAGACATGGACCGAGAGGGCCTCTCACTCATCATTGTCGAGTGTTTCCCCGGGTTGTCTTGGGATG